TGTCAAGGCCCTTTTCCGCTAAGCTGTGCTTTGGCTACATGGGGCTACAGGATACAGATAGAACAAAACATAGACATATCAGTATGAAAGGAATGAAGAACCCATCTGGAGCATAGAGTGGTCCAACAAGCTACATAATTAGCAAATATTTGGCTAAACCATTCCACAACATTCTCAGTTGACCACCTCTATCTAGAGTGAATGATATTGCCAATGAAAATTCATTAGTGTAAACTTCACATTATCCATGCAGCTGTGGCAGGGGCAGTCTCTGGGTGTTGGGGAGCATCCCAATTTTTGTAAAACTTCTCCGAAATAGTTTGACAAAAATCTGGCTATAAGCCAGAGGCTATTAGCAACATGACTGATGCACTAAACGGTTCTGGTTACTTAGTGTGTACCTAAATTAGAATATACAGCACTTTTATTTGATAATATATAAGATAGATCATGAGCTAATAATCTATCTCCAGCAGAAGTAAGAAATCAAAGAAAATATAATTTAAAGCCTATAGGACAGATGGGTCAGCAGGATTGTATATAAAATACAAAAATCCCAGTAGAACTTACAAAATTGATAACTCGATGGGCATAAAAACTAAGAAAATAATAAAATTGATCCAAAGAATATTATTTTAAAAGAATTATTTTTAAATCTTCAATTTTTTACTTCCTTATATGTCAAAGGTAGAACCAATGGCTGTGGAGATGCCAGTGATGTGCTGGTTGCAAACTTAATCAAATGATTGGCTGCCATAGTTAAAAGGGAAAAAAACTATTTAAAGTGGCACTCTAAACATTTTAATCACTTTAGCTTATTATGGCAGTTATGATGCAAAGATGTCTTTTGGCAATGCTATCTAGTTCATTTCAAACAACTTTTGAGTGTTTTGACAAAACTTTTTGTACTCCAAGCACCCAAATTAGACCCGGGCAATTGCAGAGCTTTACTTTAGCATTATCTGTACAAAGTCATCCAAACCTGGGTGGTAATAACAGATTTTGAGAGCTGGGAGTGACTTGGTGTAGTGCTTGTAGCCTATCACTGGCATTCAAGGTTGAATGGCTTTGGAACCCCTTCCAGGTGGCTTTAAAATCTCCTAAATCTAAATCCCTAAAGGTCCAAGTCTTAAACACCCCCAGCTCTGACTTTCCCATTGATCTTAACTCTACCCTAATTTCAGACAAGGGGAGCTATCATAAGAAGAAGAACATAAAAAGACAAAAAGTATGAAGCAGAAACAGACACAAGTAGCAAAAACATAAAAAGGAGTAGACATAAAGGGATAGAACATAAATATGGAATCATATATAAATGAAGAGAAAAAGGGAATGAGTCATAAATAGAAAACATTAAAATTAGTATGCGTAAAGAGGGAAAGCATAAAACGGAGGACCCATATATCCTTTGTGCAACATATGCTTACTACAGCAGTGTAATAAATATTTCATAAGCCATAATGTCATTATAAAAATTTAAGAAAACAACTTTTATAGAGACACATCAATGTGTTATTGATGCCATTTTAATTAAGTGTTCTTGCATAGCAAGACCACTTAATGTTATCTCACATATATATTATTATTATTATAGCCAAATTTACCACCCTAACTCCTCCCACAGTTTTTACACTACATAGACAGTAATATACCGAAATGTGCGGATTGTTCCAGATCGGATTGCTATTACTTTGTGGAACGTTTCACCAAATGGTTCACGGAATATCGTCGTTCTTGTGGCGAAATTGGTCCCATAGGAATGAATGGCAAAATGTTCAAAACTAGAGTGGGAGCTGGCAAAAGCTGAAAAATCAGGACATGATTTCTAAACTGCCACCACTCCCTCATTTTCAAGCCCACCTACACAAATCTTATATCAAAAAGTTCAGCTATCCCTGCTGCCACTAAAAATGTCCACGGCTAAGCCATAGTCCTGACAGTGGCGGATCCAGAGCCTGATCTCGGGAGGGGCACTTGTAGATTATTTAAATAAATAATCCAGACACAATAACCACTACAGCTCAGTGTAGTGGTTATGGTGTCAATAGTGCCAGGACCCCCTCCCAGAGTAAGTAGTCAAACCGTTTAAGAACAGTTTGACAACTTACCTGAGGTCTGCTGGGAAATGGGGCTGTAGTAGGGCATAGGAGCAGTGGTGTGTGTTAGTGGTGCAATGTGTAAGGGGTGCAGTGTGTCTGTGTGTGTGAGGGCGACAGTGTGTGAGCAGTGTGTGTGTGTGTGTGAAGGTTGTAGTGTGTGAGTGAGGGCGGCAGTGTATGTCAGGGATGCAGTGTATGTGTGTGTGAGTATTGCAGTGTATGTGTGAGTGTGGGCAATGTGTGTGTATGGACGGCAGTGTATGGGGGCAGTGTGTGTGTATGGGGGTAGTGTATGTGTGTAGAGGTGTGTTTGGTGGGCAGAATGTGTGTATGGGGGAGTATGTGTGTATGGGGGGCAGTATGTGTGTATGGGGGGCAGTATGTGTGAATGGGGGGCAGTATGTGTGTATGGGGCAGTATGTGTGTATGGGGGTGGCAGGATGTGTGTATGGGGCAGGATGTGTGTATGGGGGCAGTATGTCTGTATGGGGCAGTATGTGTGTATGGGGGAAAGTGTGTGTGTATGGGGGCCAGTATGTGTGTATGGGGGAAGTGAGTGTGTATGGGGAGCAGTGTGTGTGTGTATGGGGAGCAGTATGTGTGTATTGGGCAGTGTGTGTGTGTATGGGGAGCAGTATGTGTGTGTATGGGGAGCAGTATGTGTGTGTATGGGGGGGCAGTCTGTGTGTATGTGAAGGGTGCATGTGTGTAAGTGGGGCAGCAAGTATGGGGGCAGTGTGTGTATTGAGGGGCAGGTGTGTATGGAGGGGGCAGTGTGTGGTATTAGGGCAGTGTGTGTGTTGGGGCAGTGTGTGTGTATGGGGGCAGCATGTGCATGAGGGCAGTATATGTGTATGTGGGGGCAATGTGTGTGTGGGGGCAAGTGTATGTGTGTAGAGTGTGTGTGTATGGGGCGCAGTATGTGTGTATGGGGGAGCAATATGTGTGTATGGGGAGCAGTGTGTGTGTATGGGGGGCAGTATGTGTGTATGGGGGGCAGTGTGTGTGTATGGGGGGGCAGTATGTGTGTATGGGGGGCAGAGTATGTGTGTGGTTGTGTGTGTGATAAGGGTAGGGGGGCCTTTTTTTATAATATATATTTTTATTTATTTAATTAAAATAAATAAATATTCTATGTCCCCCCTCCCTTCTTAACTTTACTGGGAGGAGGGGGGACATATTTTGTTCCCTGGTGGTCCCAGTGGGATTCCCTGGTGGTCCCAGTGGTTGGAGTGAACTCTAGCCTGCGCTCCAGGGCTAGAGTTCACTCTCGCGAGATTTGGAGCGTTGCCGTGGTAACCGCGGCAACACTCCAAATCTCGCAAGAGGAGGACCTGGAGGAGCTGCAGCCTGAGCACCCGGTCCTCTCTTCTCCTTCTGCCTCCGCTGCCGGCTCTCAGCACAGTGCCTGCGGACCAGGGAGGGAGATCTGTGATCTGTGATCTCCCCTCCGGTCCACAGGCACATTGCAGGTCTGGCGCCTGCATGTGCTGGCAGAGGAGAGGGAGACCGTCGGATTTCCCCTTACCCCCGGATCCGCCACTGAGTCCTGATAGTTTTCATGATATGTTCATTTGTTTTCAACTCACGCCGTCCATTGACATTCATTGAAACTCCACTCCAGAAAGCTTAAATTTGAAGGGCAATTTCTAAACTGCGACTGTGCCTTCATTTCTAATACTTAGGAGACATACTATGCATCAGAATGTAGGTCTGGGTCTTGTGATTCTCACAAAATAAAGCTCTTCGTTGTAGGATTTATAGTTGTTAAAATACGACCGTTTGAAGATGGTAAACGCCAAAATACTCTGACCTGTGCCAGGCTGGAGCAGCAAGTGATGTACACCTGCTAATGTTTTATAAATGTATGTTTTAATGTAACTGTGAAGCACTTTGGGCAACAACATTGCAATTAAATGTGCTATATAAATAAATAATAACAGTTACTCCGCCCACTCCAGTTGTAGACTACTGGTGGAGGCAAGAACACTTCACACAATTTCCCCAGAAATTGTAGCTTTTCTAGTGTTATGTACAATGCAGATAATATATATATATATATATATATATTTTTTTAATATTAATAAACTGTTGTGCTATTAATTTTTAATATTAAAAGAAAAACAATATGGATGCTGGTGAGCTTGGCCTGGACATTACGTAATGCTGTTTCAACACAGGAACTTTGTATTTTGTAACCTTAAGAAGTAAACAGGAGGAATACTTATCTACAGTTTAATTTGTGAACTATATGTGTACAAGGGTAACAAGAACAATGGATACTTAAACTCACAGAGCTTCAAAGGGGTATACAAACTATGCAATTGTTTGTGCATAAACATAATAGGCAATCCAGGGTGTTTGTCAGCCATACGAACCCGAAGTCTGAGGTCGCTTCCATATTAGAACTTAAATGAATCTATTGGAATCATGCATGATATACAAATGTAAACTAAATGTGTGATTGCTACAGTAATGTCTAAAACTGCATCCATGACTGATTCAGGGGTAAAAGGTAAAATAGATATACTAATATAATTAGATTCTATTTTTCTTTGTAAATATGAATGTATTGCTTGTATTGTCCTTTAATGATAAGATTATAGATGAGACAAAGTGTAATGTTGACTCTTAGGCTTGTCAAGTAAACTAATTGACTTGTTGACATAAACTCATATATAATATAGCAAATTGATTATAATTGTATTGTTTTGTTGCTTTGCATTTTATAGCGTGTATTATTAAATTTATATATATTTTAAGCAAAGTCTGTTTATTGGTGTTGTGGACAAAGATATTAACCCAATCCATGTTGGTAAAATGCCTATTTACTCAGTATAACTACAATCAGCATTATTCAACTTTATATGTGATTTACCTAAAATGGCCGCTATGGAGTTTCCCTTTGACATCGACTAACACCCTCATTAACAAGATGGCGCTTGAATCTGGAGGAGACCTCCAAGATACCAGTGACATCACACCCGGTAGGAAGAGCACTAAATGAACCACTTAACACCTAACCAATTATTGATGTATTATTCCATGTTATCTCTGACAATGCATATGATGTAATTTTGCTTTATAAGGGACATGCCGTCCCCTCAGAATAAACATTCCTCAAGTTTTTCATTAACCCAAAACCTGTGTCTGGTGTGAATTACTTTATGCACGCATTACTTCTTAATTTGGCCGGGGGCAGATACGCAAGATAATCAATTTATTAATTGAATCCACATCAATTGGCCATCTGCCGTTCATAAGTGTTTATATCACCGCTTAAAACAAAGAACGACAGGGTCCCTGTAGGCTCTATGTGTGTGTGAATATCATCAGATATTATTCAATCTATATTCCATACATATAAAACCTTAGATTACCCAGCATATTATTGGAGGCACGAGCTGAGAGTTTTACATGGGATATCGCTTGTGTACGATAGATTGCACAAATAAATTGTTTATTAATATACACATTGCAATACTTTAATTTGTTACCTATAGATATACATATTTCAAAGAAAATGTCAGTCACAAAGAGTAACTCAACCTCTAGTCTGTCAGAAGCAGTCAGTCATGGTGAAATGTCCCCCCCAAAACTTGAAAGAGACAAATTAGTCTATAGAGAAATTTAAAAATGTGAAATTATGCAACATTTGCATCATAAACTGGGGGTAAAAGATGAAATTAATAACCATATTGAATTTTTAAATGTATTAAAGAGTGCTTATTCATTGGCTGACCCCAAAGCTGACTTTGAACACCCTGAATTTAAAAGCCTATATTATAACGCTATGCCATCATCGATTAAAATAAACTTAGCCCATGATTTCCATGTGGGTAGGTCTTTAGAATGGATTGTGAAACAATGCACAATTCTATATTCTGCCCAACAGCATGAGGAGCATGGGGGGAAAAGATATTTAAAACCTAATCCACATATAGTAGCAGACACTAGCATTCAGAAAAATCATCTGGAGCTAGAGTCCAAGAAAAAAACATGCTGAGGTGGTTCAAAGTCCAAAGCCACCCAGACAGAAAAGGGTTAAGCCCCTTCCTGTCCAACCACAAGCTGAGGTTACAGAGACCCACAACCAAGGGTATAGACTACCCTTTAGGAAAAGGCATTTCCAAAATTGGGGAAATCTCTCTGGTGAGCACAGGGTTAAACATCCACACCAGGAAAGGGGTTGCAACTCTGATAGCTCCCATCGCTCTCAGCCAACTACCCAAAGGTCATATTGTACCTACGGGACAATAGCCAAAATAACTTACGCTCTCAAGTAAACCAAATGGCAACTCAGATGAGTCAATTGATAGAGCAGGTTACGAGGCTGAGCCAAAATGTTGCTATAACACAACCAGGGAATATTTTTTTTAGATATGGTCTAAATAAGACTGTACAAAGGAACACACATGTGCATGCTCTCCTATATAAGATATATCAATCATTTGTGCCAAGTGATACTAATGTAACCGCCTATGGAAGATAATGTTTGTAAAATATTAAGTATTTGTGACTTACGTTATTTTATCTCTACTTAGACTCTAGACTCTTGATCGATCCCAAATTCGATGGGGAACCATCTTAAAACCAAAGATGACAGCAGGCGAGACAAGCTAGCCTGTGACGGATGCTGATGCTGTGTCAGGAATACATAAAGGAACCAATAGCAGACCCGAATCGATGATCTGGGAGGCCATTCAGGAGATGTCAAAAACAAATCTCACCACCAAGAGAATTTGATTTAAGGAAAGTCAGGGAGAGCATCATCCAGAAGACCTCACCAGGAAGCTATTTCATTTGGATACTATTTTCCTTATAAACTACAAAATCAAAACCTTTACCTAGGACATTTTTGTGCATCCAGAATTCTCAAATCAATGGGAAATTAATGGACAAATCTGAGATTTTCATGGATATACATCATCACCGGATTTTCTTTGTATGGATATCTGGTGTGCAAAAGAATTATGAAAGAAGAATTGACATCAGAAAATTACCAGTCACTCTATGACTAGTTTGAGAAGGAATTCCAGCATATTAACATGAACGTTTAACCAAATATACACGTCAAGGACCATTGTCAATCCTACAACATCTGGCCACATCTGAGGATTGAAAGGGGGATATGTTGTGCTATTTGGTGCCCTATAATTTTTTATATTAAAAGAAAAACAATATGGATGCTGGTGAGCTTGGCCTGGACATTACGTAATGCTGTTTCAACACAGGTCAAAGGAACTTTGTATTTTGTAACCTTAAGAAGTAAACAGGAGGAATACTTATCTACAGTTTAATTTGTGAGCTATATGTGTACAAGGGTAACAAGAATAATGGTTTATTACATAATGGGACTCTTTAATCCGAGATACTTAAACTCACAGAGCTTCAAAGGGGTACACAAACTATGCAATTGTTTGTGCATAAACATAATAGGCAATTGAGAGTGTTTGTCAGCCGTATGAACCCAAAGTCTGAGGTCGCTTCCATATTTTCAGAATATTAGAACTTAAATGAATCTATTGGAATCATGCATGATATCTAAATGTAAACTAAATGTGTGATTGCTATAGTAATGTCTAAAACTGCATCCTTGACTGATTCAAGGGTAAAAGGTAATATAGATATACTAATATGATTAGATTCTATGTTTCTTTGTAAATATGAATGTATCAATCAGTTATTCATACAGGTTAAATAATATAGAGGATATACACATATTGCATGATTATTAATATAACCAACCCTGTTTCAATTAAAGAATATACATAACCAAATACAGATATTTAACGTAATTTGAAATATCCCCAGTATAGGTGAATTAAAGGTCAATTCATTTATTTAACCAGGTCATCAATGATCTAATTCAGGTCTTCATACCTAGGGAAATAGTGCCATCTATTGATGAAAGTCCCCAAGGGCCACATTAATAATTAAATATTAAGATACGCCCATAACCAATCAAAAGCCAGATTTAAGTCCCAGGTACCGCCCATTTACAAACAAGGGGCAAGAACTGATAAGGGGGAAATAATGATTAAATAGGGAGAAAAATAAGAGAGAGGATTCAATATCTTCAGATCATCTTAAAAAAGATCAAAGGAGAAAACAGAGGGCTAAGAAATGAGGAGATTGACTGACTAAGGGCAATAGACTGAGTTACAGACCAGAGCCCCCAGGGAGGAGAATCCCAAATTGAATTCCTTCATCCTAGACTCTTGGTAATGTATAAAGATTTCTCTATCTAAACTATATAATCTATCTAGCATGCCCCTTATTAGCAGCAAATGCCCAGGATCTGCCAGCATAGCAAAATAAAATAAAAATCTTTCAACTTGTGTTTGTGACCTTCTCCTGTCCGTTGTTCGCATCCGTACGGCCAACTCACTTTTGCAGGACTTCTCACGGGCAGCTCCCGTCCTATGGAATAGCCTGCCTAACTCCATCAGGCTCCCCCCTAGTCTTGCATCTTTTAAGAAGTGCCTTAAAACATATCTCTTTAAGAAAGCCTTTGGCATCCCAGAGTAACCTCTACCTTATATACCTGTCTCTTGCTCTCTCCTAAAGGGCAGCACTCTACTCTCTCCTCCAGCTCTGCCTCACTCCCACCTTATTTAATTGTGAATTAATGTCCTATTGTGTTTTACACCCCACCTCCTATAGAATGGAAGCTCATTTGAGCAGGGTCCTCTTCAACCTATCGTTTCTGTAAGTTTTCTTGTAATTGTCCTATTTATAGTTAAATCCCCCCTCTCATAATATTGTAAAGTGCTACGGAATCTGTTGGTGCTATATAAATGGCAATAATAATAATACAGCAGTGTAATAAATATTTCAGAAGCCATAATGTCATTATAAGAATTTAAGAAAAACAACTTTTATAGAGACACATGAATGTGGTATTGATGCCATTTTAATGTTATGTACAATGCAGATAATACATATATATATAAATATATATATATATATAATTTTTATTTTAAATATTAATAAAAGAAAAGTCAAAGTAAACTATATAATCTATCTTGCATGCCCCTTATTAGCCTCAGATGCCCAGGATCTACCAGAATAGCAAAATAAAAAAATAAAAAATTTCAGCTTGTGTTTAACCCCTTAAGGACACGTGACGGAAATATTCCATCATGATTCCCTTTTATTTCTTTTGTATAAATTATTTTTATTCATTTTTGTATAGAATAAACAGTGAAACTCGCAGGTCTCTGCGAATCTCTTTCTTTTAGTGGCAGATGTGAGTCATGGATATACATTTGGGCTCACAGGCCCACAATGTTGTCGGACACGCAGGTCCCTTATATCATGTTTTTATTTGTGCTTATGGTTTTTAGTATTTCGACATTAAGGGAGATAATCAGTTTTCTATTGCTTGCACTGGGTTCAAGGATCTGTTCTTTGGTGATGCAGCAGGAGACCTTTAATTTTGTGTGTTACTGTGATGTTGTGGGCTTGCAGGCCCCGGGCCCCCAGTGGACTCGCGGGTCCCAGCAGTTTCTGTTTTGCTGTGGGGTCTAGCTGGTCTTTCGTAAGCTTTCTAGCGTTGAGGTGCTAACACTGTTCTGGTCGCATCCCATGTCTTTCCCCTCCTATCTGTGTGGAGTATGTGTTTTCCAGTGTGTCCCTTACGGTCCATATCCTGAAATACACCGGGTCTGTAGTGGTTTAGCGTCCCCTGTTGCCTGGTGGTCTCCGGTGCCTGGGCCCTGCCCCCCCCTGTTCAACTTGTATATGTTAAGCTCCAGTCAGGTTGTGGTCTTGTGTGTTATGTGTCTCCAAGATTGCCTTTTTATTGTGGTTTCCGGGTATTCCCTGTAGTCTCGCTTGGGTTGTTGGTCTGTGGGTATGGGTGTTGGGGTGGGTGGTGATGAGGGATGGTATTGGGGTGTCGCAGGTCTGTCTTCGATCTGAGTCTGTAGTGTGTAGGGGGTCGTATTCCGTCTCAGTCATTAGGTCTATAATCTGTCTACAAAATCTGGTTTTGTTGTCGTCAGTAGCCAGTCTGTCCAAATGTTGAGGTAGGTTTGGTGTGTGCCATTAGTGGTGGTGTGAAGGTCCTCAAGGGACCTCAGTTCTTCAATCTGTGAAAACCACATCCTCAAGGGTGGAGTGATGGATTGTTTC